TAAATGTCCTTAGAGATTATTTATGTAAACATTGATGAACTATTTTTCTGGCTGATACAAATCTACTTGCTAGACACCTTTGCATGAAAAAGCAATGGGAAGAGTCTTTTGGATCAGTGTCAATTGTTTGTTGCTCCTTAACCAAAGATACAAAATAAGTAACTGTCTATACAAGTTAAGTCAGTTTTTGTTGTAGCAGCAATTCTTCCCACATAACATTCTTTTCTCAAATCAACCTTGCAACAAGACGTGTTATGCCTGAAGCTTCAGCATTCATTCAGCTTCTGCCCATTGTTGCTAGTCTTGCAAAATTAACCTTTAAAATGAATATCAAAAACATCACTTTCAGTCTAATTATTCAGTATGGTAATAGGAAAGATATTCAGTCATGTTAGAGGCTTTATTTCACTGGGGGCTTTAAAAGTGAGATACCCAATGAGATACCATTTTAACCTTATATTGGAGGTTCAAATGGAGCCTAACACATACAAAAGATCAAATTTTCTTCTGTCCACGTAGTGGTGAGCTGAACATCCCCCAGGAATTTGTCTGTGCTAAACTAAACATAGATTTTTTGCAGTTCATGCAGGAGAACTGTAGTGATACCTTTGCAGGATCTGCAGTAGAAAGACAGTTATAAGGCTGAGGTTTTCAGTGTGACATTTGTAAAAATGAAGCTTAATCTTATAAAAGTAACCAGTAATATCTGCTTGTAGGTTTTCACTATGGTCTCCAAAAATAACATCCAGAAAAATGGTAATATTTACAAATCCAGTAGTATACCTCTCTTGCACAGTCACTCGGGACTAAAGGTGACCTCTCATTAACGCATTTTAGGAACAAAATTTCTTTAATTCTAGATCCATCTCAGTTTCTAGAGTAAACATCTTACCCCTTCTTCTGAAGCAACCATTCATTATGTCAGATGCAACAATGTCTGTTGTAACTGTTATGTTCTCCTCCTGATTTCGATGCAAACCCACCTTTCTCAGCTTCTCAAATACTGTGGGATTTTAGCAAAATTAAGTGTGGCTGTAGGCTATCAAGTTTTTATTGGCTATTATATATATCTATATATGAATTTTAGAAATACATTTTACATATATTTTTCAAATAATATGTATGGATTGTTTTTTCTTTCACCACTTTATTCCTTTTACAAGTCAAACTTGTAAACTCAAAAGAGTAGCAAGAAGAAAATTGAAAGTTGGAAATGAAACATTAATGCAATTAATTCTGTTACAACCCAAATGACGTTTGATTAAAAATATATATTTTGAAGGAGGATAAAGGTTCTTTTCCAATAACACGGTGGGAGGAGGAAAAAGATTGAATGACAAGTTCATAAACCCACTTAATTTATTCTAATTCAGAAGTCATTGGTACAATAGAAATTATTTTCCAAGTATTCAATTTCCATACAGCCTAGGGCTGACGATGGTTCTGCAGAAGGATGTGGCATGATATGAAGGTTCTACTTGTAACCTCTAACTAGAGGAATATGGGAATCTAGTGGCTTTGATGGGCATTAAACTAGACATGTCTCATTTAAATCCTTGGGCTGTTTCTAATTTGCATGTGCTTGGGGTGAGGTTGGTATTTGCAAAAAGTAGAATGCTTCCTTGCCCTTGGAACAGAATGCCAAAGGAAACTTCTCTTGCCTCTGCTCCCATGCTTCAGGGCTGGAAGACAAAATAATTAGTTCCATGCAACTAGGAATAAATCACCCAGGTTGAAACATGATAGTACCTGACAACTGGTAATGTTGGAAAAAAGATTTCAGTGAACCATTATTGATAGGAAATTGGCATGCAGAGCCGATGATTCCAGTGTATGTCTGTGTACCTTTACAGTAACCTTAGTCTTGTAAACTTAGGTGTAGATTGCTGTCTTTCCCCAGTGAAATATGTATATATGGCATGAATAAAGATTGTTAAAAATCTAATAATAGTATATATTTTTTTATTTTTCCTTTTTGGAAAGATGGTACAGTAATATATATCTTCCATAGGTTTGTAGAACATTTCAGAGGACGTATGTCATCTTCTGAATATTTAAAGACTAAACAGTGCTTGTTCCATCCTAATCCCTTTATGCTTTTCAGAGGGCTTGGAGATTCCATTGCATTTTATTTCATCTCCTTTTGGGGAGAAAAGAAAGATCCTAGTTTGGTTGTCTGCTTTATTTTTAGCAGTTATTTGAGAATTTGTTCAGAATTACTTTTTTTTTTTGTAGGAAGAAAGGATGGCAAAATGTCATTATTATGTGTTTTTTTTTTTTTAAAGGATTGTCAAACTACTTGCAAGGACATAAGAGTGAAATTCTCTATTAACTATATGGACAAAGTGTAGGCTATTCTTTGTTTTCTTCTTCAGATTATATAATTTTGGAGTGCCTATAGTTTAGTTATTTGTTACAGTGGTGCAGGTTTTGGAGAAAACTGGAATAAAGGCTACTATTTTTTTGTCGATTGTGATTTCATAAGGAAACTTTGCATGCATTATTATACAAATGTTTCAGTTTTGATGACGCATTGTGCAAGTTCCAGTTTTCTGTAGTTTAAAAATCATGCCCTTGTTTGGGGACTGTAAGTTATCTGACCCTGCAAAAGGCATAGTTGTTGGTAGAGTGTTTTTTTTTAGGTAGTGTCTACCTATTGGTATGGCTTAGAACATTTAATTGTACCTTCTGTTCCCTGGATGATAACAAACCCCCCTGTTTATTACTCCAAATGGAAAAGTATGCACTTAGACTGAAAGAATAGACAGGTTCGTACTTCCTACACAATACACCTTATTAATTTTTTTATTATTATATTATCTTTGTGTACAGGAGGGTGCAGTTGCAAGGGGAAGATGCAACAGTCATATATAGTCTTACTGTACAGCTATCATCTTACTCTGGTCACAGTAAACAGTGTTACTCAAACATGAAAAGTATGCTTTGCTTGTGCAAATGGTTGTGCTGCCTTGGCAAGCATTTTAATATCTGCCAAAGCTGAATTACTTAGCTGTCTCTTGTGTGTGGTTTGGTCACAGCAGAAAGTCACTGCACTATCCCCTCTTCAGCCAGCTGGAGCCTTTGCGAGAGCATTTCGCCTCCAGAAGTAAACATGAGTCTAAGAATAGCTCAGCCTTCTTTGTAGTATATTTTCATGGTTGGCTGTCTAAACAGCCAGCCTGTCTAGACAGCTGACGACACTGAAAGCTCCTAAGGTCAAAAGCAGCCACATGGGCTACTCTTGGGGATGTTACCCCTTGGTAGCTGTACATGTGTACACTAGAACTCTTTGGTCAGAATGAATAGGGATCTTTCTGAGGCTCCGTGGGCTACAAGAGTGTGTTAATAAGGCATTAAATAATAGATATGAGTTATAAAGAAGGAATTTTCAGTTCTTGTCATTATTTCTGACTCGCATGGTATGGCACTGATTATGGTGTTTTGGTGCTCTTCAGAATTTGTCTTGTAGTGTCATTTGTGTTGCACCCAAATCTAAATTTTGAGCATAATAGAGACCTAAGAGTTTTTTCTAATAGAAACTAACGATGAAGATAAACCAGAATCAATTTCAGTTCATTCTTTAAAGAACAACAAAAAAACTTTATGTAGTTGTTCTGCTATTAGTAATGCATAGATTGTGTACATAGCTGGATGTAAGTTTACACATGCTTGCATAAGAGAAATAAAAAAACTGGCATGAAGGATCTTATATCAGGAGGCTCCTCCTATGGCCATGGGTTACAGAGGAATGTTAGCAAGGGATTCCCTGAATTAGATTGTTCTTTCTCCTAGCTTCCACTTGTAACACATCTACCATTATTTGTGACCAGATGTTCAGCCTTCTGCGAAATCTTTTGCATTTATCATTGCGGATCTAGACCATTTTCTAAGTTCCAGATGTAATTTTAATAGAGATTAAAAAAAAGTAGTAGTGCATGTGTCTAAATAACCATTTGCTCTGTAATCACAGCAGCTCAGTTTTTTCCAATATTGAAGAGTAGAACCTGGGGATAGTTGCTGTATTTCGACTAACAAAGGAGCTGCTCACTGCAGTTCCACAGGCGAAGCAAAAAAGGCTAGTTAGTGCATTCAGTTTACAAATACTGGACTAGACAGCCTACGGGGTTGTCTGGTTACATTATTTCTTACAAATGTCTTTGGAAGAATATCTTTCTACAAGTGTTTTGCAGATAGATACACCATTTTATGATGTATGTTTGCTGATGCAAGAAAAACTTGTCAACAACAACAAAAAGGAATCAACTGAGAAATCTGTATGTGGTTTAGTCCTTCGCTGATAAATTTGTTTTCAACAGGTTACCATAATGTAAATGGGTGTGTTTCTTGTGATGGGTATGTATGCGTAAAATGGGTTTAGCATTAGGTCTTCTCAGTCTGTCAAAAGATATATTCAGAACTCATATAATGGATCGAATTCTACACCTGCAGAAAACGCGGCTAATATGTTTTCTACCCGGGGGATGGTCCTTTGTGTTAGTCCATCATACAGCAAATTACCATGTAAGATGAAAAAAGCCACATGCCAGTACAGTAAGGAGTATGACAGTACCAAAGGAAATACTTAAAATAATACTTCTTTGCAACTTCTTAATTATTAAGTGCCGGTTTTGGTTTACATTTACAGTAATGTTTTTCTCAGTTTTTCCTTTTATATTGTTAATGCATTGATCATCCTTCAGTCATGCAGTGCCCAGCATTCTCAGAAATGAGTAATAATACTCTTTTCTTTCTGTTTTTCTTGTGAATATTATTTAGACTTTCTTGCTCTGAATTCTTTGCTGATTATCAGAAAGGTTACTGATTCCTTATTAATATTTGATGGTTTTGGTGCATAGCTTGATGTTTTGATGTAGGATTACAGGAACTAGGCCCTTGCCCAATTCCTTTGCTTTAAGAATATTTTTAAGAGTTTACGCTCCTAAAATGATTTTGCATGCTTTTGCTTGCTCTTGTCTTAAAATTTGTTCCTGCTCTTTAAGATTGAAAATCTACAAGAACAGTTAAGAGACAAGGAGAAGCAAATGAGCAGCTTAAAGGATCGAGTGAAATCCTTGCAGGCTGATACCACAAATACTGACACTGCCTTGACTACGCTGGAAGAAGCACTTGCAGAAAAAGTGAGTATCGAAAGCCTAATCCCTTCCTTCGAAAACTCCTTCTCCTAATAAAAGCCTGCTTTTCCGTGTGTTTTCTGGGCTCTATACAAGACATCTCTAATACTAAGCCTCAGTGACATCCTTTGTCTCTGCCGACTGAGGGATGAGTGTGGAGGCTGCAGCGGTGGGTCCCTCAATAGAGGGCACTGCAGGATATCCATAGAGCTAGCCCGGGGTACTGCCCTCCGCCCCTGGTACCATGAGCGGGGCAGGAAGGCAGAGCTGAGCCACAGCCTATCGCTCTGGTCATTAGCTACTTATCATTTTGTGTGGTGGTGGAAGAGCTTGATGTTCTCACAGTTGTCTCTTTACATGGTGCATCTTTGGTATGATTGTGGAATACCTTACAGTTCAACTGTAGATTCTTCTGCTTTTTGCCCTTTCTTTCCTGCCTTCCTGCCTGCCTGCCTTCTTCTTTGCTCAGATATTTTAAGAATAAATTAATTTTTCAAGTTTGTTGTGTGAAATGGAGTTTTAATTCACAATACTGAATTAAAATGAGCAGTTATCCTGCTAGCTAACATTTCTTTATGCTTGTTCAACTCTCAGGAGACAGATGACTGAGGGAATAGCCTTGTCTATTCTGTTTTAGTGGGGCAGCCTTTTGGATCTACTGTATATTTTTTTCTTGATTCCCAGAGAACCAGGGTCGCAGTTCCTTTAGACTGTCAGATTCTATAAATATAAAGCTGTGGTAGAGCCTTCCTGACATTGGTAGAGCCTTCCTGACACTTGCATCCCTTCAGATTACAAGATAACTAAAGCTCTGTTGATATCTGCTGTACTGGAAAGTTATTTTACTGCCCTTTCTTACTGTATATTGGTCCTGGTGTCACATATGCACTACAGCTCTTTTTCTGAATAGAACCACAGACTTAACCTTCCATTTTGGCAAAACAAGATTTAAGTAAGGAAACAATATATAATGTATCCTGGTCTAAGTTAATTTTGATTATCAGAACCAGATAAATTGTGTTGGACTGTTAACAGTACGTTGAAATTTCAGAGATACAGAAAGCCTGGTATTTCTTAGCAATAAATCCATAGATTTCTCAGGTTTCCTCCTTTTTGTTTTATAATCATAAGAAAAAGAAAATGGCAGTGGTCTAGTGGGAGGTTTCCTTGCCCATGGCAGGAGGGGTGGAACTAGATGATTTTTAGGTCCTTTCCAACCCTAACCATTCTATGATATCCTACATTCCTCCTCATCTACAGTATGTATGAAGTGTTGTGACACGAAGTCTTAAATGTTGAACTTAGAAGGATTTTCTTCACAGAGTGCTTTCTTTTTTTAGGAAAGGACCATTGAGCGCCTAAAGGAGCAGCGTGACAGAGATGAACGAGAAAAACAGGAAGAGATCGACAACTACAAAAAAGACATTAAGGACCTGAAAGAGAGAGTCAGCATTTTACAAGGAGATCTCACAGAGAAAGAGGTTGACCAGCAGAATAAATCTGTTGTGTTAAAATTGTTTGTTGTATATGTGTGTCTTATGTTTGAGGTGAAGAAAACCGTTCCTTTATAGTAGTGGTCCTTCAACAAGTATATCTGGTAAAATAGATTGTTTTAGACATTTTCCAAGCATAAACATTTCAGAACCACCTGTTTATGGATAGCACACAGTCCCCTTTGCAGCAGTTAATCATGTTAGTAGCAAATGAGCAGCGCTCAGTGATAGCATTTGCCGAAGGTCTGCTTATAGGCAGCTGAAGGCAGAGAACAAGCTTGTTTCTGTCTAAATATAGGGAGGAAAGGACAGAGGCTGGTCAATGCTGCAGGTGCTAAAAGCATGCAGATAATGTTTATTCCTTTATGCAGACAGTATAGCTAGTTCTTTTGACTCTGAGAAGTGTTCTTTTTTGATAATTAAATTGCTTGTTGGTAATGAGCCAGTTGGTTAGAGAAATTAACCTAATTGCGTTAGAGAAATATAAACATTCTCTGTTCCTCTCTTGGAGTTGTAACATTCAAATTTACTTACTGTCTTTTTCAAAACGCAATCGAAGTAGAGCAATACAAAAGAAAAAGCTTGTATCCCGGAAGTGCTAAGATTTTGTCTACGTGAAAGGCAACATTTGACAGGAAAAAAACATTAAAAAGGTTCACAAAGCAAGAAGTTGAGATGTCTTTTGGTGGTAGGTAGCATGAATCAGTTTCACCCCATAGCAGCAGTATATAGAAAAGCTTTGAACAGTCAGTTTTAGATACAAAAGCCAAATCAGCTGTGCGTGTATGATTTTTAAATAGCATTTTAATTAAAACCAGATTTTCTTAAACATGACTGAAATATGAAACGCAAATTCCCATTTACAAAATCTTCCATCTTTTAAAAATTATTTTAAAATTAATTTAAACGAGATTTTATTCTGATCCTGAAAACCTGAATTAAATCAAGCTGTCTTAAATCAGGCCATGAACATCCTGACAAAATACATTGTTCAAAGTTGGGACCTGAACACAATATGAAGGGATAGGAAGAAAATAAAGATTAAAAAAGAAACTAGTTATTGCACATCAAGTGTATTTACTTGATAGTTATTTTACATCTTTTATTTTAGTCATCATTACTGGACCTGAAGGAACATGCTTCATCCTTAGCTTCATCAGGACTGAAGAAAGATTCCAGACTCAAGACACTAGAAATTGCATTGGAACAGAAAAAGGAAGAGTGTTTGAAGATGGAAACTCAGTTGAAGAAGGTAATCTCACTTCATATTTAAGTATGTGGTGTAAACATTCAGTGTTGGACAAATTTGCCATGTCTACATAGAAAACTTTGGGTCTCAAGTTTGAATTCTGTGGTTTTCAGCAAGAACTGTGAAGTTGTGTCCATACTACAAGATAAGCCTGTCAGAAAGTAGCTTTCAGACACTGGTGCTAATTTTGGATGTCATTTACATGCAATAAAAGCGCTGTTGATTTATTTACTAGGAATTAAATACTTAGTATGCTTCACTACAGTTCATAACAGTAATGGTGCCATTAAGCTGGTGTAACAGCTGAAAAATTAGCAGCTGTATATTTCACATATAAATTATCAATGTTTGTAGGTGTTAATGTGATAAATTCAGAAGCATGATTGGCCCAGCCCATAAGTATGCATAAAATCAAATGAAAAGAATGTATCACCCGTAAAGTGTGTGATCTTCTGTTTTAATCTCATTGCCAGTTGCAGCTGATACACTGCTAGGAATTTGCTGTTCAGAAAAGTAATATTGTATTACAAGCAAATTAATTCGTTTGAACAGAATCTTTGGGTTCTGTCTGCATTGCAAGCCTTTATTTTGTCTCAGAGTAGCATAAATACTACACTGTTTAGAGGAGCATTAATTTGGTTTTAACTGATTTTAAAAGAGCAGATGGTGAAGAAAGCACAAAACACGCCAATTGAAATAGTGATAACACTTCTATTTATAAAAACAGAACAAGACAAAAAGCAACATGATTTCTTAAAGAAACTTACGTCTTGGGTTGTGGTGTTCTAGCTGTTTCTTTACATCTACCCAGTAAAAGAAGGAGTGCCCATGCAGTAGTTTGGAACTCTGTCCTAGTTCCTCAGATTAATGTGGGAACAAATTTTGAGTCACCAGTTAAGACCTGTTTAGGATTTCTGTTGTGTGGGTACAAGGTGGGTGTCAATGCACCTGAGAACTCTGTGTAAGTGAAATTTACACACATACTTGTATCTAGACACATGATTGTCCTTTTTTTTTATTTCTGTTACACAAAAGAAACAGTTCTGTTATTCAGCATCAACAAAGTACAGCAGCAAGAAAAGGTTGTGTACATTTAAGTAGTCTCACAGGCTGTTTTCAGTGTAGCGTAGAGCAGGTGAGTATTTCAGAAGTCCTAAAGGACCCTTTCCTTTGAATTCTCTGTCATGAATTGCAGTTTCGCCATTTGTCAGTGTGTTAATAGTAATGAATTGAAGAATACATTGTAGCTAAGATTTGCCAGAGATTGTTATAGCAATTGGATGGTAGTTTGTAGGTAGACAACTACAGGGGAGAACATTGTTACAGTTACTCTAATTTAAAAAAAAAAAAAAGTTACTAGCTGGGAGAGCACATAACAAATAGGTTATGAAAAACCAGTTGTGGAAATTCAATCAGTTAGGGAATATGTCTGTATATTTAGCATTTGTTAATGTACTGCTTTCTGCTGCTCCCCCTGAGATCACTTACCTCACTATAAGCAGTGAGTATATCAGTAGTTTAAGTGGGTGTGGAGGTTGACAAAAATCTAGTCAAGCATTGCTGGCTAAAAGATGAACATGCAGTTAATTTGTACTGTGATGACAGCTCTTCGTTATAATTCCTTTAGGGCCTACCTCTGCTTATTCCATTTCAGAGGGGATTATGCTTAATAGCTAGTATCCAGGAACATTGCATAAGGACACTGAGCCACTTCATAAGACCATATATTTTTGTAATCTGATACCTTTTTTTTTTTTTTCCCCCAAGAGGTAATTAAGCGAGTGACCCTTTTCGTGAGGGTTAAAATGGGTAAATAGCTCAAATGTTAAGAGCACTATTAACTGTACAGGACAGCTATGGAACAAATAACTGTATTCCTAATTTGGTTCTGAGAAAAATAATGAGTGTAAATTCATTGCATTGTACATACAAATAGATTTGCATCTTCCAATCCAAAGAAGCTCTCAAAATAATTCAGTCAGGATAGTTTCAGTTTTACAAGCAAAGAAAGTTGATAGCATGCCATTACCTATGTGCATACAAAGCCCTTCCATAGTACTCTGGATATCTGGTCCTCTGCTTCAAGCATCATTGCTTATTAGGGCATTTGGACCATTGTTTCCTGTGCAGAGACCCTAAAGTGATCTCTCACATCCTACTAAGACAAAATCATAAATATCTTGTTCCTTTTTTAAATACTTCGTCATGTTGGCCTCCTGCATTCTTTTTATTCAAGGGTAAATTAAAGTTCAATGGGAAGATTTTTTTTTTGGTGATAAGGCAGTCCACAATGGCTTATTTATAAAGGAATGAATGTTCTAGGACCCAGTTATGATTACATGTAACTAACCATGCATTTGCTTTCCTCAAGCTATACGAAAAAACCCACTTCTACCAGTGATCCTCCTTGCTTTCTAGAACAAAGTCACAATTACTCTTGGTTACTCAAGAAAAAGTAGTTAACAACCACTTGGATGTTTTATACTTATGACTAAGTTTAGATATTTCTTTAATAACCTCTTTTCCAGCTGTTTTTAGTTTGCCAATGTATTTTGTCACTTGCAGAAAAGAAGAAAAATGTATTTTTAAGGGGCTTTCTCTCTTTAAATACACTGCAGATATTTATTCAGGCAGTCTGACATTTTCAAGGTGCATTAATTCCTTGTCATCCTTGAAACAATTATGAGAGAGAATCCAGCTTTTAAAACCTTAGGTTTACACATCTGCATTGTTAACAATTGCAAATGACTGTCACAATTAACCATAAAACTAATGGCTCCAGAAAGCATTCAGTCTAAAGCTGAATTAGAGGTTTATTATGTTGAGTTTTATTACATTGTCTTAGCACTCTTTTGCATAAGACACGCAGGTAGGACTCTCTCATTTAGCTCATCAGAGCAAATGGCAAAAAGCTTATTCTTTTAGGTTATTTCCCTTACAGTTTGGACAGAGATGTGTCCAACATCAATCTTGTTTCCCTTGCCTCTTATTTCCACTGAACAGTTTGAGTACTTTCAGTTAAATCTATTAGCCTTAGAAGTTAAAAAGCTGACAGAAGAGACTAAATGGGACTACTGTTAAGCCTTTAAGCCATTAGATAAAAAAGATTTGGGCAGCCCTTGGAAAAAAACCCTTGCTACTCTCTAAACAGGGAACTTCTGAGAAATCATAAACAGTGCAAGCTTCCACTTTTTCTGTAAAAGGGGTTTAACTTTACACTAAACTGAAATATTATTAAACAACTGGAGTTCGGGGGTGCTGAAAAGTTCCTGGTATTATTTTTCTTTCCATGTAAGAAGTCTCCAGTGTCTGACTCTAGGTGTCCGCTGTTCATTGTTACTATTTCTCTTCTTACTAATGATGACTTTATATTGATCTCTGTCTCAGCAAATAAAACTGCAATGTTTATCATATTTGGGGTTGGGTTTTTTAATAATGATACCATGGTTATGTAAATCATTACATGGCCTGGTGTCCTGCCTTAAATAGTCTCCTTTTTAGCTGAGATGGAATCATTAGAGGGAAATCACACGCAGGGAGTTCTCTTCCTGTTTTTCTGTGAAGTGTTATTTTTATGTGTGGTGGTTTGTTGCTTTTCTGTTTTTTTTTTTTGTTGTTTTTTTTTAAATTGGGAAACTCATTTTTCAAACTCCTATTTTAATGTAATAGTTTTACAGTGAAAAAAACTTTCTTCTAGTTGTTTTTCTTCAGGATACTCACTTTTTCTGTCTTGTCTTTCCCATTCAATATGCTTTGTTTCATTCTGGTTTTCTCATCTGGGAGAGGCCAACTAATACAACAATCTGTTCTGACAAAGATGAGCAGATTTTTGTCTATCTTCATTTCCACTGCGTAGCTTTCCTCCCTATAGATATTTTCCTTATTTGAAAGTGATCAAGGTTAGAGAAAAGAAAGAGTCCAAAACCATATTTTAACAAACATCCCCTTGGTGCATTCTAGGAACTTTTCATCAGAGAATGTTAGCAGTGATTCCCTGCCAGGAAAATACCTCTAGATTCAACAGGCTCACTCAGAGGGTGCTTTTTTTTCTGCTGTGTTGTTCTTCCTTCAAGTTCTGGAGGCTGGTACCTTTCAAAACACAGGAAAAAATGACTGAAGCATTGACCCAAATTCTGTGTTTCACAAGATTTAGCTCAGCTAGTCTAATACAGGCTCTGGTGCTTTTTATTTTAGTTCACATGAATATCGTGCCACAACTGAAAACATTACTGGTAATATTGGTGGATAAGGTAGAAATACTATTTCTTGTTCTCAGCTGATGATCTTTTTTTCTTCAAAGAAAGGATGATAAATGATGTATTCAGAATAGCAACCTAGAAAGGAAAAGGCTACCATTGAAATCCGGATGTCTTTAAAAGTAAAAAGCCAGCAAGTGTGTTTAGCGTTCTGATAGTGTCAGTTACCGAATTAGTTTTCTAAATCATTTAGCTGCCTTGTAATTGATATAAGTGAAGCACTAGAAATTAAAGTCCTTCTCAACCTGTAAAACCCAAACACAGGGCTACATTAACTGTGTGAAGACTGAGAAATCAATATCAAGTTTGGAACTTGCAAAGGGGTAACTCTCCATGTTTGTCATGTTTCAAAAGCTCATTAGTAATGCATGCTATAATCACAAACTAAGATTCTGTCATCTTAGTAAATTAATGTTGTGGTTATTATTTTAAATTCTTTTCTCGTTGCATCTATTCTTTTTCTCTCTCACACTATTCCTATCCCCAACTTTCCCCATCTTTTCCTGTCTTTTTTTCTCCTTTTAGCACACTGAAGTTTTATTGAGTCATCCATCCAAGCCAGTAAGTTCCCTGGCAAACTGAGAGGCTGTTGCCAACTCCATTTAATTATCTGTGTTGCATGTGTATTCACCTGTGTGCTTGTATGTGGGCCAACATAGAGTATACTGGTGAATTACTTTAGTAATGGGTATGGATAGTATAGATAAAAGCAAAATTCTATGATAAGTCTGACCAGTCATGCTCAAAAAAGCCTTCTGAGATGCTTTTATTTTATGGCTGTGTTGGTCTAACTTCATTTTTGTTCAGACAGCTTAATGTCGTGCCAGTGTTTTTGTTTCCCTTTGCTGCAGTTGCTTGAAGTGTCCTGTAGCTTTTCTTTCATCTTCATTGTTCGTGCATTTTTAGAGCAAGAATGTAGAATTTCCATGCAAATAAAGCTTCTTGTGTGAAAGAATTTTGTAACACCATGTACAGCAGCACATAAGAAATAATATTTAAGCTATGGCAAGTAAAAGATTGCTTAAAAACTTGTGTAACCATTAAGCTTACTGGTACTGTGTCAGTTTAATTTTGGATCCTATTACCAGCCTTCTGTTTGATGTCAAAGAGCACTCCTTTCAAGGAGTGTTTGTATAATAATATCTTGACACCGTAAATTACGTAATCCAAGGTGGTTTTCATCAGAGATTTCTTTTGTGACTGTGTGCATAAAGAAATTGTGTTACAAAACTTTCATGAGTCTGGTATCTGTGTTTCACTTGACAATGATCAGGGTAAATGTAGCTGTATCCTGACAATCATTGCCTGAAGGTCACAGGTTAGCTGGTGCTTTTAATAGTTCAGGTTTTGTGACACACCATATTGGAAATTATTTTAATGAAGCAGATAATGCATTTATGGGCCTAGATTTGGGAAAAGAGTTGTGGTATGCAGTAGGGAAAATTATTTTCATAGGACTATCAGAAATAACAATGAATAGTCAACTAGGGCATAAAAACTCCTGCACTGTATTTTGAGTTATTTATTCTATATAAAACCAGTCATTAATAAATATTCTAAGATATTTGGTGCACAAAGATTAGAAAAACAGATTTTTTTTCTTAAATGATATAAGATTAGTGGAGATGGCATTTAAAGATTTCATTATTTAGTATTTCACAACAGAGGCTATTTTTCCCCAGAGGTTTTGTGTGTTCAGGTATGAAATGCAGACTCAAGACTTTTCTGCTAAATTAATACCTTCCTTCACTTCAGAATAATTAGACAGTCTCCTAACCTGTGGATTACACTGGTACAGTCGTTACTAAACTTGAGTAATGCATCCTGTTAAATAGGATTTATGTTTTTAAATGTTTACATTGTTTCATTCAGTCTGAGATTCTGTTTGGTTTTGTGTTTTTTTGAAAGAAACTCTCAGCCATAACAGCTCACTGTTTTTAAGACCAAAATGTAGAAATATGTTAGTGTTATTTTTTTTTTAACACTAGTTATTTTTTATTAAAAGATTTGGTCCTTTTACCGGATATTTTTGATGCTCCTCTTTAAATTTATCTAAATTGGTTAAAAATGAAATGCATTCTCTATTTGTACATGCTCAGTAGAAAGATAGATTTAGGGATGAAAGATTCTACCTGCATTGGTTATACCCCATCCTGAAGATGGAGCAAGAACTTCCCATTGCCTCTGTCCATTACCACAGTCTCTTCTAGGTCTGGTCATTTGAACAGACAGCAGCTCTGCTAAGTAGACTATTCTCCAAATATGACGGTGGTTCCAAGCAGCTGCTTGATCATATAGAGCAGAAGCAAGAGTCAGCATCGTGGTGTGCAGAACGGATCAGGACAAATAATCTGTTAAGATTGGAAGTTCATACTGAAAGTTAGCCACTGGGAAGATAAAAACAGATTGGATTTTTCTGGGTGAATTAGTAGCTAGGATTACCAGGAAATATGAAGAAAGGCTGAGAGAGTTGGGGTTTTTCAGCCTGGAGAAGAGAAGACTCGAGAGACCTTATAGCAGCCTTCCAGTACATAAAGGTAGCTTACAGGAAAGCTGTAGATGGACTTCTTACAAGGGCATGTAGTGACTGGACAAGGGAGAATGGCTTTAAACTGAGAGTTTTGGATTAGATATTAGGGAAAAAATCTTTACTGTGAGGGTGGTGAGAGATGGGAACAGGTTGCCCAGAGAAGCTGTGGATGCCTCAACCCTGGCAGTGTTCAAGGCCAAGGTAACAGGGCTTTGATCAACTTGGTTCAGTGGGAGGTGTCCCTGTCCATGTCAGGAGGGTTGGAACCAGATGATCTTTAAGGTCCTTTCCAAACCAAGCCATTCTATGTTTCTACAGTTGTACTGAATCTGGGACTCGGTGAAAACATAGTATGAGGATTGGCTTGTACATGGGTAGGAGACATGGGGCTACAGGCGCTGTTGGATAGAACTAACTGTGCACAAAAAATGCCTCAAACCTGAAAAAAGGAAAACGATGAGGAGCACTGGTAGATTAGTGGAATCTGATGGGATAAGTGGAGTGGAATTTGAGCCTGGCAAAATGATATTGATAAAAGGGTGGGGAAATGATACATAGTAAAAAGGGACTGTACTTGGTGCAAATAGGTGGGGGAATTTGTGCCCAAGAGAGCATATTCTCTATGAAATCTTTTATAGCATGCACAGTTTCTGAGACTCCCCATTACTTGGAAGTCAGAAAATACAAGATGTGGGAACAAACTGTATGTGATACGGCCAGCATACAGGGTAAGGTGCAAGAGTCTCTGTGGTGGCTTTTAAAATTCCAGTCATATTGATGGTCCATAACAATGTCAGAATCATCTCACGCAGTAGAAAATTGGAGGGGTTTTCCCCTATTTTCTTACACTTAAAAAATTAAAACGTATCTACTCTACCCCATTTAGAAACCTTGTTAAGATAACATTAATTTTGAGGAATTAAATATCCAAAAACTAGGAAATGGTCAATGCAACATTTTGTGGCCTTTCTCATTTTTTCATTTTGAGGTGTTTGTTACAGCATTTATAACTTAATTATTTTATGCCACTTTTGCATTGAGTAAGACCAGATATTTCTGTATCTCAGTTTTTCACCTGCACAGCAGGTATAATAACACATCCTTATTTCCCACTGGTGGTGTTATGAAGTTGTTAGTTACCATTTGCCAAGAAACAGCCTACAGCACAATAGAACAAAAACTGGGTAAATACTTCTTTTCAGTGTCATTTTGTAACTTAAACAAGGCATAGAGCCATGCACTGAATATCAAAAAACCAAGTACTGATTATCTGATTATTGATGAGTAAATCCCTTCTGCACATTGAGTGAAGCTCTATTTCTGTAAAATAGTAGCATATGTTCAGGTGAGCAAGACCTAGTTTAGAGGAGACATGGGTAAGGGGGTTGAAGTATGTTCACAAATAAAGCAATCAAAGAAGGCAATGGGCATTTCCCTCCTCTTTGCACACTGTGTTGGCATAAATTTTAAAGAGAGCAAGTTGTTAATGTTTATTAACGACTATGGGAACTCATATTTCTGAAGAGATCATTTTTTTTAATAATGAGTTCTCTCAAGGCATCTCCCTGTTATTTACAATTTGAACCTTCTTTATGAAATTATTCCAACCAAATACTTGCTTCTTCGGTGTCTAAATTTACTGTCACATTTACAGAGACTAACCGTTGAAAAGATTTTGTCACTAATAAGATAACAAACAACTCTTTGTGACAGGCTCAAGTTTTCCAGTACATAGTATATAAAAGAATTCACTTTTACTTCCAGGACAGCCTTTTTGAAAAGCTGCATTACGGTATGTGACTTTCAAAGCATTGGAACTAAAGGGAGGAGCAAGACTGGTTGGTTTTCAAATTTATAATTTGATGAACTAATAAAGACACAAGAGAATGCAGCACACATGTTTTATCATTTGAATTGCTGCCTTCACGATAGGAAAAGTGAAATCATTATATGTGTTTCTCTTTTGCAGTAAATAATCATAATACAGTTTTGTATTTATGCATGCTTTTATTATTTTTAGGAGACGTGAGGCACACTTGGAAGTAGGAGGGTGGATTAAAATGGGATTTCAGATTCTTGGGAACTTCTGTTTTGTGGCCAAAAGTTCTTGGCAACATTTGTATGTGAAATGTTAAACTGAATTTACTGTCTCAATTCATAGGTAAAAGTAGAAAGTGTTTGCAGTGAATTATTTGCTGTTTGATTTGGTTAATCTTTTAGGAATAATGATTTGGAATTTTTGTCATAATGTTTGGAATTTTTATTTACATTTTAGAACTTTTAAATCAGATCTGTGCTATTGTTTTCTACCCTGCTTCTGGCATGCTTTAAGCTGTGTAAGGCTACCTTGCCTCTTAGTAAAGAGTTTTTTGGCACGAGAAATAATCATCTTTGAAAATTCCTTTCAATGTGTTTAGTCTTCCTCTCCTCTCCATCTGTAAATAGTGGTTATTTCTGTGAAACATTGGTCATCTTTGTTTTAGCTGTAGAAGTTGGCTTTGTCAGCTGATTTTCTGTGGAAGCAATACAAGTTATACTACATTTATCTGAGGAACAATCACTCTTTCTTTTATTCTTTAGGTACCTGAAATATTCACCCCATCACTTACCACATTCCAGAAGGGAAATGATGGCTAAGAGCAAAAAAGCAGAAAGCTGTTAAACCACCTTTTAGTTTGTAGCTCCTCTTTAGAACTTTGAGAACATATCCGCAGTAGTAGGCTTAAACTAAGTAGTAAGGTTAAACTATTCTCAGAGCTGAGCCACTTTGAAATTAAATTAACACTGGCAAAGATTAATACTATAAGATGAGCTTTGCTAATAAAACATAGCTTAAGAAAGTGCTGTTTTCTGGCTAAACATGACAGTGTTTCTTATGCAGACCAGTGCAGAATCAAACACGCAGGTTTGATTGTGCTCCTGAAAACAGCTTCAGTTCACCTTTTTGACTCCACACAGGAGCAGACGTGGAGAGCTAATGCCAGGGTCAGTAGTAACAGTTAAGAGGTTTAAGATATCCTGTTATCAGGTAAACTCAGTGGTCATACTTATTTCTCATTTGTCACAGGAGAAAGTGCAATGTTCCCTTCACCCTAAGCAAGCTGGTTTTTCAATTTATTTAATCTTTATCATACTTTTATACCTTTTCACGTTTGTCTGTAACTATATTAAGAGGTTGCAGATTTAGGAACACTGTCTCAGGCAGAGCTAAATGTTTAACCCATGGAAATGCACTTCTTACAGTCTCTTAATAACAGCAGAAACTGTCTTAGTGCATTTATCACTTTATATGTCGATTCTGTTTAAAAAATCAAATTACTGCCTTATTTTGGAATTTTTGTACACCTTTGGTGGGCAGGGGAAGTTGTGTGGGTTTGTTTTTTTTCTGTGAGTATAGGAATTCATTATTTGTGTTTAACTTTCTTTTCGGTTAGAAAAAAATACTGCTGAATTATTTCACACGATGTTGCATTGGGAAGGTAGCCAATTTCATCTGTTCCAGATCTTGATGCGAGTTTGTGGGAAACCTCTAAATGCATTGGTTTTCTCTCCTGTACAATAAATGAATCCAGTAGGATTTTTGATACGATCATGTGACACGTATTTTGTACATAACCCGCAAAATGGACCAAAATCAGTCAGTAATTCACAACTCAGGAAGTGGTCTCCAGTTTACACCATATCAAATAACGTTCTCTTTGTGTTAGGTGAAAGTATCCATACTTATGTGCATTATATACAAATAATACGTGTTACGTGTCTTAACTAATAATTTATGTCATGTAAATAGCCCTTTTGTTCTACAAGAACCAGACACATGGACTTGTTGGCTAATTTTCTGAAACAGAAAATTGATTTCCTCTTCTCAGTAGTGTCTCTCGGGTTGTTGTGGAGGTACTTTTATTAACACAGAGTAATATAAATCAGGACTGTCCTGGCAGTAGAATTGCATTAGGTCTTATAACTTATTTTGAATTAGAGAGTTGAGTAATCCAGGCTAACAGCCTAGCTTTGCTGTTTTTTTAAAGAAGTTTCTTGATTATCTGATTATGTATTTTGGATGACTTTAAAGAGCCTGGAGGAGTATTTGCTAAAACAAACAAATAGAGATGTTTGAAAAATACCTAAATCTAGTACAGAAGAATTCAGGTTCTGTGTCTGGTGAAAACCAGACTTAACTCTAAACATAGTGTCTCTTCAGAGAATATGGATGCCCCAAGTAGACTTTACAGATGCCTCCCAGTAGGTTTATAGATGCCCCTTGAAAACAGGATTCCCAGTTCCTTCAAAGCAGTTATTTGGGAGGGAAGGATGGGGATTTTGTTTGAAATTTAGGAATAGTTGAAATAAAACCAAATATTTCAGTTTTCCTGCGGGCTGGAAATCCCAGTAGGACATTTCAGGAACACCCACCAACACTCCCCTTCCAAAGTAAAGTATGTTCCCTGAGGCTTGCCGCTGTTTGTGGAACCAACACACTTGTCGATCTCATTGCTGCAATGTCCTCCTGGAGTCTGAATCATCTTGGCAACATATTAATTAGACTTGTACTTGCTGTAGAGAGCCCTTTCCAAGAGTGTGTGATTTGAAGTGCTTATGGGGCAGTAAGGGATCTGGAAGCATCAACAGCTTTCACTACAAAAGGCTTCTCAAAACTTTCAGGCTCACCAGGGATGCACTTGGAGCCAGGTCTCAGTCAGAAGCTCAGAAGCAAAATTTTCAGATTTACAGCTCAGTAGTAGAGAGTTGTCAGGGTTTGACTTGAAAGTCACTCAGAAGTAAGGATCCTTTTAAGTCTTCCTAAATGTATTGCCTCAGGAAAGGGTTCTGTTCTATGGTTGTTGGGCTCTTCTGCTGGGATCTGATCAGGAAATTTGGGGATTGCCAGGCAGTTTATTCTAGGCTAAAATACTATGCAGGTTGTCCAGCTTCCTGGAATTCCTGCTTTAAAAAAAAAAAAAATGAAAACCAAACCAATTTAGCATCAACCCTCAGGCAGGAGAAGTGTTCCAGTATTTGAGAAACCCAGATTTGTCCCAAGGTCATAGTCCCAGAAAAGCCTGATATCGAGACATTCCTCAGTCCTAGAATGTTCTGCTTCGAGATTCTCTTGGATTTCACTAAAATGTGGCTTTGGCTTGAATGGAGCTAATTAAAAGTAAGAGACTTCAAAGCAAAAATGCTGGGGTCGATGAACAGATATTTTCCTCCAGTCTTATTTTACTGAATAATTAAACAGATTTGGCCAATTGTATTTTTTTTCTGTTTGGTTCTTTGGAAGCAGCAGCTTTTAACTCTGAGTTTTATGCTGCTACAGTTCTGTCCAATTACCTTTAAAGGCCACTGGGTCTATCGGATTTAGACTTACTGTGCTTTGGAGCAGAACATTGGCAGCTTGTAAAACAACTTTCCAAAGCTGCACATAAGGAGGGGAAAAGTCTGTAGTCTTATTGCCTGTTGTAGGCTCACTTCAGACAAGAGAAAGGTCTTGAGTTTGCCGGCAGTCTTGGTTGGCAGGATATCTCCACCAAACCTGTTCTTCACTAACGCGAAAATGAGCAATTCTGAAATACCTTTAATTGACATCAAATAGTGGTTCAAGATACAAGAGCAAAGGGTCAGGAGAGAATGGATAGATAGTCCTTAGTCTGCTGGTTTGAATTCTAGCGCAAGTGCTACCTTTGTCTTTGATATGCTTGGGAACTGTTGAATTAATTTTACTAATACATCGGTGCTTTTTATAAAAAAAAATTAAAACCAAACAAACAAACAAAACCCCACAAAAAAAAAAACAGAAACACTCAGTTCTCTGAGGCTTTTTGTCCCCCAGTTATTGAGAAATCATATTTCCTAGATAACTAGGCAAAGACAATTTCAGCAGGTAGCCAGACTCCAGCTAGTCCTAGTCTATATGGTTCAGATAACTAGTCAGGACTTCAGTACATCAACACCATCTGTGCAAATCTATACAACATTGCATGTTCATGTGATTATTGAAGGCTGTTAACCTGGGATTTGTTTTTGTACCTGGACTTGTGCAAAGTGTTGAACGCTGTCCCACGCGACATCCTTGTCTCTAAATTGGAGAGACATCAATTTGATAGGTGAAGCACTCAGTGGATAAAGAACTGGCTGGATGGCTGCACTCAGAGAGTTGTAGACAACAGCTCAGTGTCCAGCTGGAGACCAGTAACGAGTGGTGTCCCTCAGGGATCTGTGTTGGGACCGGTCTTGTTCAACATCTTCGTCGCTGACATGGACAGTGGGATTGAGTGCGCCCTCAGCAAGTTTGCCGATGACACCAAGCTGTGTGGTTCGGTTGATACGGTGGAGGGAAGGAATGCCATCCAGAGGGACCTTGACACGCTTGTGAGGTGGGCTGATGCCAACCTTGTGAAGTTAAACCATGCCAAGTGCAAGGTCCTACACCTGGGTTGGAGCAATCCTAGGCACAGCTACAGGTTGGGCAGAGAAGAGATTCAGAGCAGCCCTGCGGAGGACGTGGGGGTGTTGGTCAATGAGAAAAGAACATGAGGCAGCAATGAAGCCAACCGTATCCTGGGCTGCATCAAAAGGAGCGTGACCAGCAGGTCAAAGGAGGTGATCCTGCCCCTTTACTCTGCTCTCGTGAGGCCTCATTTGGAGTATTGTGTGCAGTTCTGGTGTCCTCAACATAAAAAGGACATGGAACTGTTGGGACAAGTCCAGAGGAGGGCCACGAGGATGATCAGGGGCCTGGAGCACCTCCTGTATGAAGATAGGCTGAGAAAGTTGGGGCTGTTGAGCCTGGAGAAGAGAAGGCTGCGTGGAGACCTCCTAGCAGCCTTCCAGTATCTGAAGTGGGGCCTATAGGGATGCTGGGGAGGGACTCTTCATTAGGGACTGTAGTGACAGAACAAGGCGTAACACATTAAAACTTAAACAGGGGAAGTTTAGGTTGGATATAAGGAGGAAGTTCTTTCCTGTGAGGGTGGTGAAGCACTGGAATGGGTTGCCCAAGGAAATTGTGAAGGCTCCATCCCTGGTGGTGTTCAAGGCCAGGTTGCACAGAGCCTTGAGTGACATGGTTTAGTGTGAGATATCCCTGCCCATAGCAGAGGGGCTGGAACTAGATGATCTGAAGGTCCTTTCCAACCCTAACTATTCTATGATTCTATAATTATCTAGGCTAAAAATAGTTCTGATACTTAATTCTACAACCATACCACTGTTTCAAAAGTGTATTTTAGACTATTTTATACCCACTCACTCTTACATTTCTTTTCCTTTCCTTTCAAAGAAGTTTAACTTTTTCATATTTTCACTTAATTCTTCCATCAATTCTAATGAAAAAAATTCACTTTAATTCTTTTAGACTGAATCAAAAAAGGCAAATTTATTTCTAAATTTTATTTCCTCTGAAGTATTTCCCAATACTTGTAAGTAGCACAAGTGCTGTATATTTATTTCTTTGTAATGATTATTCTTTCCAGCTTAAAACAGATATCTAGATAATGTTTTGCAGTCATCATAGTATCTGTAAAATATATATGTTTGAATGAAGTGTTTTTTCTTGAATCTTTTTCTTACAGGCTCATGAAGCAACAATGGAGGCTAGGGCCAGCCCAGAGCTGAGTGATCGTATGCAGCAGCTGGAAAGGGAGGTAACACGGTATCGGGAAGAATCTAGCAAGGCTCAAGCTGAAGTGGATCGTCTTCTGGAAATCTTGAAAGAGATGGAAAATGAAAAGAACGATAAGGATAAGAAGATAGCAGAACTAGAGAGGTGAGCATGGTATAAAGGTACCCAAGGAGCAAAAAAGCTGATTAAAGTTAGCGATAACTTAGTCCATTTTTCTTCTCCTAAAAATCTTAGAGTTCCTATTTTGGGAAAGTCTAGAGGTTTTTTTGCCTTCAATCATTTATTTTGGTAGATGATAAACGAAAAGGTTTCTTACTGTATACTTCTATTACCTGGCTGCTTAAAAACAGGGCTGATACAGATAGAACGAGAAGGGTAGACAGAGCTGTAACAGAATGAAGATGATAGGAAAAGTTGCCGACACCATGTTGCTCTTGGAGAGCAATTAATTCTTTTGATTTAATAAATTCCTCAAGCATGGTTTAAAAAAAACCTAAGGACTAATAGGAAAAAGTACTTTAATAGCCTGTGATACTAGTTACCTAGGTTCTTCTGACAAGTGATATTGAAACTCTGTACTGGTAGGAACAGAGGTAAACTTTGGCTCATTTGAAGCCAAATGAACACATTTGCTTTTGTCCAAATGAAATCTGATTCAGCACTTTTCATCATTTTCTATCTTTCTGTGGGAGCTAGTGTTCACATTTTTTTTCAGTACTTTAATGTACAAAAAGTATAATTTATTATGATTCCATGACGTTCGTATTGCAATTATAAATAGTAGATATTGGGAAAGACTTGAAACAGGTCCTGTTTTCTATCAGTTTCTTATGTTACATTGGACCAAGAGTGAGTTTCTAGGCAGTAGTACCTGTTTGGGGCTTTTTGTGTACTTTACTGTTCTGAGTGAAAAATTACTAACTTAGAAAAGCAAAATACTAACTTAGAAAAGCTGATTATTCCCATTTGCCTTGTGCCAGCATAGTCTGTCTAATTTCTATCTTAGCACTATTTAACTGCCCTGCATTTAGTGTCAGGACGATGAGGGCAAGTGAGCACTGGTTCTTTAGGATGACAGTGGTTAGTTATTATTCAGTGACTTGATGACAGTCAAATTATGGGCCCCTCTGAGCAATTTGAAAAACTCTTTTCTACGAAGTCCATTCTTATTTCCTTGAAAGTGACAGAGATCTGAAATAGTTCAACTTGTCAGGTAGGTTTCTTCTCTCTTTGTGATTGTAAGTAGCATCCTGTTAGTTTTATTTAAGTAGTTGTTTTATTTAACTAAAATTCTTTATACCCGTGGTGCAAGCTTCATGTGAACACTCAAAAGTGAGGATACATCCTTTTTAACTGTCTTTCTTTTTTTTCTAAGTAATATAGCTTTCAGCCCATTGATAGATGATGCATTCAGCCTAACATTCAGGCAATAGGTGTATAGAGTAGGTGCATTAACTCTAGACATGAAAAATCTTAAATAGCAGTTACAAGCCATATTTTTCTGTGTGATTTTTTTTTTTATTCCCTTAGAGGGGCCCATCTTGGGCGTGAAGTTCAACATGTCATCATCTTGGGACATGCAAGTTGACTAGGGATCAAGATATAAGCAATAAGTTTCTGTTGGAAGTAAGGTATAGGGAAGAAATATGTTCACAGTGCATTATTTTTTTCTGTGTGCAGAAGTAATTATTGTTTAGGAAAAGCAGGTCAGAAATATTTATCATTCCTCAATGTGATACCTAGATGAGATTGGAGTAGCAGGAATAGTTTCCTTATGCACACTTTTAATGCAATTCTCATTTTCTTATTACATTAGCATTCAAGATTGGGAACTGCAATGTCAAACACTGAATAAGCACATCGAAGTAATCTATAATTGAAAGAGTTTATAGTCTACAAAGCAAAAATAAGAAAGAAGCGAAGATGGGCTTCCTCTTTTACAGATAAAAGCATTGATACCCAGTATTCAAAGAGTTAGCAAAGAGCTTTTTCTTTCAAAAGATGCAATTCTAGATATCTGCAAAGCAGTTATTTTTCATGTTACAGCGGTAGTTTCTTGCTGTTTCAGTCATAGACCAAACCATTGCTCCATCGGTGAAAGCATAAAATCATCAAATGACTGGGCATCATTCCATAACAATTTGGTGAATGACTATTTAGTGTTAGCCATTCCTTCTTACCACCAGATCTTCACTCTTTTCAAGAAAAAAAAAAATGGTGGTACTCTTCTCTTTTTAACTTGTCATCTTTTCTACCAGCACTGAGATAACGTACAGTATGTCTTTCTTTTACTTCTAGTATGTGTTTTAGCAATGTAAAGAAAAGACTATTTTTGTTATCTTGTGATTGCCAGCAGCTGTGTAAATCAAGGTGAGGGGGGGAATCTCCTTGTGAGTTTTTACACAAAGCAGAGATTTTAACATGCCTATTCAATGCATAGGTTGGTCCTGGTTTTATCTACCATGCTTGTTTATAAAGTATTCTTTCATGGCTGAACTGATATACCCAGGCATGATACATGCATGTTTAGAGCTAGAGCCTTAGTTTCCTGAAAAGAATAAATAATTTTGCCTTGTAAAAGTCCTTCCTAAACTGTGGTCCATGCAGAGCAAGCTGGAAATTGTCTTGACTTCTAACGCTTCTACAGCTGTTCAAACTGTGCTGTGCAAAGAAGAACCCTAGTGATTGCAGAAGCATTTGTCAGAAAGCACAAAAGTGAATGTTGCCGTGCCTGTCAGGAACTGCTATTATTCCATGTAGAGCAAGATGAAAAGAAATAAATCACAGTCAGAGAATAACTGTACTAACAAACCCAAGATTTTTCAAAAGAGTGTCTCCCTGGAGTTTTCCTTTATGCTAGTTATATATGACAGCTAGAATGTATGTCATCAGGAGAAGTGAAATAGTAGAATGGTTTCACCTATAGAATAGAAGAAATGAGTCGCCTGTTAGGGAGGTATGTGTAGGGGAACAGAGAAGGAAAAAAGATAGGAGAAGAAGATGAAACAAAAAGCAGAGAACTGTTCTCTTAAGCCCTTTCAATGATGGCAAAGCTGCCTTCAGTTCAAGTTAAAATAAAGAGGGAAATGCTTCCATTCTTCAATAACTGTTGCAATTACTGTGTGGGGGATGCTTTTCAGTGTGAATGGAAGGAAAGATATAAAAAATGCGTTAAGTATGGTGCATGCTACACAAAAGTTTTGGAAATACTCTAGAGTCAACATGAGGTTGAAATCACAAGCTCATTGATTTATATCCTCTGTGGGCAGGACTTTGCTTTTTGTTATAGGAAGGTGGGCTATAGGTCTGCATTTCTTCTGTGGGTGAACAGTCCTCTAAGTTTTGTTTCTGTCCCCAGATTGTGGTGGTATAGAGGGTTTTGTAGGTGTCTGGTTATTCACTTCCTTTATAACTAACTGTTTGCTTTTTGTATTGTCATTCCATAACCTCCTGTCTCTCTGTAACTTTTCATTTTGTGTTTTGTTTCCTTCCTCAATTTTTCTCTCTATTTTCACTGTCATGTCCTGGTTCCATGAGTTGGTTTGTTTTGTACGTGTGGGGTTTTTTTTTGACTATGCCTTTTCTCAGAAAGCACACCTCCCGCAAATTGCACCCTCCCTACCAGGTGTCGGTCCCTGCACCACAACACGTAGGGGGGTTTGTGTGGGACTTCCTGGGAAAGTGAGTGCTCTATAAGGCTTCTGTTTCCTATGGGGTGGAATGTCACTGCTGGCTGCCCGGCTGCTGCTGCTGCTGCTGTTTGGGTCTGCTGCAATTATGCTTTTTTTCTTAGGTCAAACAGGAACTGGTTATGTCAAGTACAAGCTCTAACAGTCTCTGCGTTCAGCTCGTGTCACAGTGGTTATAACCACAATCCAGAGGAAGTTTGCTGCTATTCTCCCTGATTTAAAGTCAACAGAAGCTGTTGCTTTTTATTCTAATTCTCTTGCTGTGATTCACCTTTAGTTCTAACCTCTGCTATCAGTTCTGCCTGAACCACCTAAAACTCAACTGTTCTAAAATGTCTCATTGATAGAGGTCAGTATTGACTTATTCTTGAGGTTTATTGTGATTATTATCCTGTAATAAGAACAAGGGAATTAAAAAAAAAGGAAGGTTAAAGAAAGAAAAATACTGCTAATAATCAGGGATGTGACCATCACAACCTTCAGATGGGTAGCATACACACAGAGGTATTTGTGCATGTATTCTGCAAAAAAGAACTGTTCTTGAGTGGTGGAAGTAAATATATATATGTATATGTTGCTTCAGAAGTAAGCACTGACTAAATACATATGGAAGTCCTGGTTCCAGTTACAGACCTAAAGTTGATATTAATTTGGCATGCTTGCTATGCATGATAGGTAGTCCTTGTAAAGACATAGGACACTACCATTTTTTTGTTGAAGGAACCTTAACTTTGCTTTGGTAGCAAATGAAGACGGTAGTTAGCTTTGGAATACCAGACGTCTCATTAAGAACAGCTGGAAATGATGGCTATTTTAAGAAAGAGATTGGGGGATTTTTTTCTAAAAAGAACTTAAGGTTGCCCCATTCAAAAAGAAACCTTCAAACTTTGATGTGTAGCAGCCAAAAGGTATACTCCTCACATTAAATGTTTCTTCTCAATAGTAAATAAAAATGAAACGTTAAAAAACATAGGGTGATCTCAAAGGAGTGCTGACAAATGTGGACAGTACAAGTATCTTACTCAGTATGTCTTTGAGACAGTAATATGTTTGTGTAGCAGTCTGTGAAGGATAGAGAGAGAAATTAACTGCACGTTCCATCAACTTTATGGTTTCCTAGAATAGTGAAAAGGAAACTATACTAATAAATTATGCACTAAGCTTAAGTCAACAATTTGAAGTTGAAATACGTATTTTCAAACTACTACTCATGTTTTACAGTAGTTGTCTTTGGTTTTCAAGTTGGTTGTTTCTGTGAATTCTACATATATTTTTTAGAGAATTTCTAAACGTGAACCACATAAGGGCATGAAAGTAGTTTAAAGTAAAAGGGATGTCAAATTAAAGAACAAAAGCTGTTCATGAAGTCATAATTTCATCACCATTAAAGTTAACCTTGAGAGATGGTATGACTATAGTTCTGTATTATTGTAACTCATTAGAGTCCTCCAAAAA